GCAATTTAGAATTTTATGCAATTTACCTCAATAGTTCTTCAAATATTTTTGTAAAAGTATTGAAACACCTAACGATTCGTTTTGTGCATGCACTATGTCACATCAATCGATAGATCTTTTATTTATTTTGTAGTTGTACAATAATATTCGAGATGTTCCGGATGTTAAAGACAAGTAAATTTACTCCACTTTAGTAACAATGATTAATACAGTTCTGCAATAAATTTACAGACTAATGCTCGGTACACTTTCAGCAAATTTTGGGCCAAAATTCCAAAAAAATATAGGAAATAATAAATCAACGAATACCTCAAATATTACTGAAGTAATAAAATATACAAATATATTTGTCAACATTTTGATAGAGAAAACCGAGTACAATCAAAAATATTTTTAAAATGTTTGGCCACCCTATGATGTTCCAGAATTAAACTTCTTTCAGTAATTAGAGATATTTTGTAATGCAGACATCCCTGACTTTTACTTTCACCAAAATTGTAATGTAACGTCGAGAAAGCTGTTCGTAAAGTCTATTTACGTTTGTTTTATATTAATGATTATTATTTTAGGAAAAATTGTGAAAACAAAACTTAATTAAGCTTATTAAAACTATAGTCAGAAAGTATATAAAAATCTCACAAAAATTTAGCTGTTTTCAAGGGCGTTTGTTCATCAATTAATAGTATTTGAAAAAAATTTAATGGGGCAACAATAGTCTTAATTATTTCTTTACTTATTATTACCAGAACTTCATATTAGATTATATAAATTCTGCCAGACAAATGAAAATTGAATCTAATAAATTTTGTGTTTTTCTTAAAACATTCTTCTTAAAAAATTGCTAGTATTATCAGTATTTTGTCTTAAATGCATAACGAGTGTGTGGTAAAACTAAGTTTAACACTTACGAATGATGATTTTGTAGATTTTCAGAAGTTTTGAATTTCTATATGACTATTATTATATTGTGATGGACTATATATGTTTTTTTTTTTAATTTATATTACTTGTGATATTTTTTAAATAAACTTCATAATTATAAGGAAATGGGAGCAACTTCTCAAGCATCAATAAAATCTCTTGCATAAATAATATAAGAATCTGTAAGTGCAAAACATAAAGTAATTAAAGATACAATTTAAACAAACTAATACACAACTAATTACGAATAACAGAAACTTACGAAGACTTTATTTTTCACCATGCCAAATACGACGTACTTTGTTATTTTATTAGCTATTCGAGAAAAATTTTATCCATCCGTATTATTTTTTTTTAGTGTCAAGAACTTAATTGGAATTTTTAACTTTGTGATAATTTTTCTGCAACAAAAGTAATTCTGGAAGGTAACAAATTACCATTTTATACAATATACAGTGAAGAATATATCGTTATTGCACCTTCAAAGTGAGATGTGCATATTTTCAGCAAAACGCGTTAAAGCGGAGAATTCGATAAACGACATCAAACCGCATAAGCTGGTAAAAAACAACTATCTTATTTTCTAAAGAATTATGACTGTGGTAAAATTAAAAATAATTGTTGTAATTCTGTAATAAAAGAGGCCAAGAAACAGTTTTTTAACTCCACTGAACAATTTGATAAGATACAAGTCGCATTTTGCAGGCGCAACGACGATATGTAATGTAGGTATTACAAACCTATATAATTTTAAATTTTTACTTAAATCTTTTTTTGTATCTATTTAGAAACAAAAATATACATAATAAACTTTGAGAAATTAGTGCGAATGAAAACGAAATGCACACATTAAATATTCCATGTACAGGGTTCTTCACTTTGAAATTTTGTTTATGGGGGTTATTAGATATCTTCAATGAAAATAATGCCATCAACGTAGCACTTCTGGTTATACCGGAAGTAGCTGTCAACTTCGTTATTTTAAATGGAACACCCCCATATATGTATTATTACATTACCAACAAGATAAATTAAACTTTCTGAACTTAAGATAAATTAAAACTGAGTCAAAAATGTTAAAGCTTCCCTGTAGCTAAATCTAGCCGTTTTTGAAATAATCAATATTTTATAAAAATTTTGACAGATGCAAGCGTTTCGAAAATTCCTTGTATCTTTCTTCTTTCTGGAAGCTTTCACTTGCTTTTCGGAATACACAAAAAACATAAGATGCACTACATTTCACTATCAAAATTGAAGAAAATTATACCAAGTCTCCCATTTTTTATGTTACATTTTGAAAATTTAAAACCGACATATTGCGTCATATTATAGAAAATCAAATTCTCTTTTCACCGATATAGGCATTGTATGGGTTACAGTTTAAATTTTCTCAAATATATGCGATTTACTTACATTCTCAAGAATATCATGTTAAAATACCATCAAATGTGCCTTGAAAGGCAAATACTAGTACAGTGAAACCTTTTTAATCCGAGCACCACATTGCCAGGCATTGTTCGTATTATCAAATTGTTCGGATTATCGAACATACTATAAAGATTTGTACATATGTATATTATGTACATACATACACATTTTATTATAATAATATAAATATAACTCATATAAGACACATAAAACTTATATAAAGTAAAACATAAACATGTAGTTACATTTACATATATGAATTATTTTACGCTTTTCACATTTTTTATTTTTCTTACTTACAAAAAAACTACAAAATTGTTGCACAAAACACGACACGCCGCAGGTTCTTCGCTATCGACAAATAAACTGACTGCCGACTAGGCGCGTACGCGTGAAGCGATCTAGTCTTTTCTTGTCATCGTTCAGATTTGGCCGTTCGGATTAGCGTGTGATCGGATTAACGTGTGTTCGGATTAAAAAGGTTGCACTGTATTGTCATTCAGTATTCTACAAATATCAAGTATTTGCCCGAGAAGAAAAATGCAGAATAATTATTCTGATGAAGATATTTGAATTCATTTTATATCCATGGGACATTCATCATAAACCAGTATTAGCTGCATTTCTATGATTTGGTATTTTGCAACATTTGAGGAATTATGCGCCAATGAAACTCGGCCAGCTACACACAATATCGTTCTTTGTAGAACATTAAAATATTTTTTATTTTATTTAATTTTTTTTCATAATTACATTAATAAAATGCGTTGATTCACGTTTGTTACATCTTTTAAACAATGAGAGTATATTTACAAAAAAATAATAAGATTTCCTTCCAATGGGATACTATTATTAGTAACGGCAAGTACAATAAAGAGCAAATAAGTAGCCTTTCATTAAGAAAACAATGAAATGTAAAGTAACCAAAATTTTAAATTATAGTATCTTCTCAACTTCATTCCAAATATCATAAAATTATAATAATGCATTTATAGTTATTTGAAATTATTTATCTTTGCTATTCTTTAAAAATTTTACGACAACATTAAAACTTAAGGAAAAATTTGAAGAAAAGCAACCGAAATCATTTCATTAATTGTTCTGTTTCAGTTACAAAATACCAAATCATAGAAATCAGCTAATAATTTTGATTCACGGTGAATGTTCCATGGACATAAAAGAAATTCAAAATATCTTCATTAGAATAATTATTTTGCATTTTTCTTATCGAGCAAATACTTGATACTTGAGAATACTGAATGACAGCACCTTTCAAGGCACATTTGATGATATTTTTAACGTAATATTCTGGAGAATGTAAGTAACCCGAAAATATCTAAGAAAATTGAAACTGTAACCCTTACAATGCCTATATCAGTGAAAAGATAATTTTTCTATAATATAATGCAAAAAAATATAGTGTTCCATTTGAATTTAAAAAGTTTTGTCGGTTTTGTTTTCAAAATGTAACGTAAGACCCTTAGTATAACTTTCTTCAGGTAATTTTAATAGCGGAATGTAGTGCATCTTATGTTCATTGTGTATTCCGAAAAGCAAGTGAAAGCTTCTAGAACGAAGAAAGATGTAAGGAATTTTTCGAAACGCTTGCATCTGTCAAAATTTGTATAAAATGTCGATTATCTCGGAAGCGGTTAGATTTAGGTACAGGAAGGAACATTTTTGACTTATTTTTAATTTACATTGCAATAATATATAAGGTGTTCTATTTAAAATAACGATGTTGACAAATATTTTCGGTATTACCAGAACTGCTAAGTTGATGGCATTATTTTCATGGAAGAGAACATATCTGATAACTCCAGTAAACAAAATTTCAGTCATATTGTCTTTTATTCCTCTGACAAGGAGAAGGTAAGGCAATCGGACTTTTGTAATTTTTGATATTTATGGTATATGTAGTTTGGACCTTGAATAAGTATTTTCCAAAGTAGTTCGACGCAACGTTCATAAATTACCGAGATAATCGATTTTGAAGTTTTACCTGCCAGCTGAATCCACTACTAGAAGCGACACATTTTTCAACTGGGAGCATGACCTAGTTAGTAGCGTTCAGTTCCGGCAGTCACGAGATCACTGGTTCGAGTCTCGTCGCACGACATTTCTTTTTCCCCTTCAAAACACACCAATAAGTTTTTTTATTTTTTTTCTCATCTCGAAAACTATGTTATGAACAAACTACATATTATAATAACTACTTATGTACATATATGTAGGAATATTTTTCAAATATTTCATTAAAGTGCACAATTGATTGCTAAACAATATTTATTATGAATTAACAATAAGGTTTCTTTACAAAAACAAATGAGGTTAAGTAGGATGTTTCTTTATTTTATATTTACAATTAATATTTGACATTCTAAGCAGTGTGGCACGAGCCAGAATTGTACAGTTATCATAGAAACATGGGAAGCAGAAATTTTTTAAGCATCTAGTACACCGTATAAATGTTATGTTTTTACAGGCGCATTTTATTTTCAAAATATCGACGTCAAAGCAAACTTCGTTAACATTTTGAAAGATTGTGCCACACTGCGTAAAATGTCAAATACTAATTGTAAATATATAATAGAAGAACATCCTACCTGACCTCGTTTGTTTTTTTAAAGAAACCTTATTGTGCAGTTTAATGAAATATTTGAAGAATATTCCTACATATATGTACCACGTATGTAGTTATCATAATATTTCGTTTGTTCATAATTTTCGAGATGAGAAAAAAAATAAAAAAAAACTTATTGGTGTGATTTGAAGGGGAAAAAAAAATGTCGTGCGGCGAGACTCGAACCAGCGTTGTGACTATCGGAACTGAACGCTACTAACTAGGCCACGCTCCCAGTTGAAAAATGTGTCGCATCTAGTAGTGGATTCAGCTGGCAGGTTAAACTTCAAAATCGATTATATCGGTAACGTTGTGTCGAACTACTTAAGGAAAATTCTTATTCAAGGTCCAAACTACACGTATCATAAATATCAAAAATTATAAAAATCCAATTACCTTGCCTTCTCCTTGTGAAATGTTTAATAGGCCACTTACCGTGAAGAACTCTGTATAAATTTCTATAATAATTCAGGATGGATTTATTTCTTTTGATTGCAAGATACATTTATTGGCATACTAAATGCAACAAGAAATTGATAAGCCATATAAAAATAATGAAAATAGTTTTACAAAGCAATATAAAAGAACTGGAATTTTTCTTGAAACGAGAATGTTAGAATTACATTTGATTTATTTATGTTATGCGTATGATAACTCAGTCACATACCTATATAGTTAGGTACCCACGTATGTCGATTAAGGATTCATTTACCTAAGTGTTGCGTAAAATAAAATATAAGATTTTAAATAATCACATATTATTTTCAGACCTCAAAGTTACCTGTACAGAATTGAAAATACTCGATTTGTAGCTAATACTGATGAAATTTAAATCTGAATTGTAAAATTGTCAAAAAACGTAACAAAAACCATATTCAATTAAAAAAAAAAATTCAATAATTTTTCATCCATATTTCCGCACCGAACAGTGAAGTAAAAATAGAAAAATTTTAAACTTACTACCTACCACTATAAATTTAAAGTACTAAAATTCAAAGCTTCAATTTCAAACAGTACTTTCACGTGTATAAAGTGATTTTAAAACTAATAAAACATTAAATATCAAGTCCATCTTTAGCTGCACTAAATGACATTATCAATTCGTTAGGAGAATACTTCTAGGTTTTTATTTTCAAATAACAACTTCTCAGGAAAATGGATTACCCATCCTTTTGGAACCAAATTTCTTTTCTTCTTGTTCAGGAGTTCTCAGAACCTCAAAGGGCATAATAGAGCTTTCTATAATTTCCCTTTCGTCAGAGGGAAAATCCTCGAAGCTCATATTACTAAATCCACCGTCCATTTTAATTTTTAATGAAGATTTTTTTGATTTGCCACTGCCTTTCTTGTAAGAATTAAGGTTCCTAGACACTTTTACAGGCTTTGCCATGAAACTGGAACTCTCGTCGGACACGCTTTCATCAATTAATTGATACTTGGACTTCAGATCTTTATCTTTCTTTTTTTCCTTCTTCCCTTTCTGGAATACGTCTTGTGGCTCTGACGCAAATAATTCTTCGTGAAAATTACCTGATGAGCTACTTTTCACGGAAAAATTGTTTTTTTCTTGTGGCAACTGAAACTCCTGGGGACTCTCCAAATCTATGAAATATTGTTCTTTTTCTGGCGTGTTAACGCCTTCAAACACAGTTCCTTCTTTACTTGAAGCAACAGGTGAATAATGGTGAATACTAATGAAGTTCGTTTCAAATGCTGCTTGTTCAAAGAAATTTATTGGTTGAGTTACTACATTTCCGCTATCGAAATTCGAATTTATTGTCAGTATGTTGTAATTTGATGTAGCGGGTGCTTCATTATCGACACCGAAATCAGAACTGAGAAAAGGATTTAGGGAAATATTACTGGTAGGTTTGATCTCAGTATTATCGGTATCTACTTGGTTGACCGAAAAATCCGCAAAGGATTCTTTCTCAAAAACCTGCGGAACTGGTACAGGCAATATATTTTCCTGCTCTTTCACCTCAATAACCTCTTCGGTTTGTCTACTTTTTACTTTTGTTTTACCGAATGGGGCCATTGCAAATACATCGTGATCCTCAAAACTACTAGACGGGGCTATCCATATATCAGTTTGTTTCTTTTTAGCTTTATCAGGCGTCCACTTTGGATTGAATTTAATTTCGCAGTCTGAATCTAACTCGTCGTCCATGAGCAAAGGTCGTTCGCCATATTGATGACCTACAAATAACATATCTTCCGATTGAATAGCTGCCTTCTTAGCTTCTTCCCGCTGTTTAGCTCTTATTATTCTACTTGTGCAGTCTTCTTCGTGCGTAGCCATACTTTCGCATTCTGCGTGGTACGCGGACGAACCGCAGGTCTTTATACTTTCGCTAATCGTTTCACTAACTGCATCTTCTTTGACAGGTGCGGCTTCCACTACATCTTCGTCTATTCTTAAATCGCTTGCAGATCCTATTGAATCATCCGAATCTACGGCAACAGAGCCATTTTTTTTATCGGGCCTCCGCTTATCATTTTCGGTTGCCTTTTCTTCTCTATTACGTTCAGATCTAAAGTTTTTAATAGGTATTTCAACAGTTTTATATACAGAATGTAGTTTCTCGGGGATGTTGATTTTTCTTTTCTTTTTCGTTTTATCTTGTGGTTTAATATTCTCGACTTCTTCTTCAGAGCTACTGTTTGAAGTTACATCATATACACCCTGTATTAACTTTTCATATTTCGAACGGTCCTCTAAAGGCGCCTTTATGTAAGGCGGAGACATATCATTCTCGGGTTCTGTTTTAATGAGAGGTGCTTCTCCTTCAGAAGAAACTAGATTTTGCTCTGGCGAGTAATCATAGGGGAGGCTCTCCTCGATCAAAGGTTCTGTTATGATTTTTTTATACACTGGTGTAACTGCAATTGAAAGTTATCAAATTAATGAATTAGTAATAATAAAATTAAAAGTATAACACTTAAATAAATTTAAAAAATATAAACTTCAGGAAAATATTTGTATTCCTTATACAGGGTGTCCTAGAAAATAGTGGCCATACAGCACCCACTAATTGCTGAGATAGGAACAATTGAATTTTAATCAATTTATCTTAGTGAAATAATGTTTTGTTTAAAAATTATAAGGTGTTAAACTTCTTACTTTTGCTGTTTTTTTTTAAATTAATTCTGTGAACTGACATAAGGTGTATGAATCAAATTTGATGACTACCCTTATTTTTGAAAATATTTTCCCCACCTATGAAACTTGACTGAATTTCAAAATTAAATTCAATTTGCCGCTTTGAAAAAAGATACCAAATTGACTTTATAGTAGAGATCAATCCCAGAATTTCAAAATCTCAAAATCCCAAGTGTTTTGTAAGTTTTAATTCTTCCTCACCAGGATCTTTTCTAACTAAAAGCTGGCACATTTGAGTAATAATAACAATACCTATTCATGGTAAAGGCATTGTTTAGTCTAATAAAGGACTTTGATTTGAATTTAAGTATCTAACCTAAAATTAGTTTATAAAATGTTTTTATCCAACACTTGTAAATATACAGGCTGTTACAAATTCGCTTCTCACTACAGGCATCTCGGAAACAGTAAGAGGTACAAAATAGCTTAATTGGGGGCAAAGTTGTGTAATTAGGGGACCAACATTATACCTCTAACAAATCAACACTTTCTCATGGCCACTTTGCCCTCTATCGAATGGCATAATCAATTTTTAAAAGTAACGTTTCGTCTGTCTGGGATCATCATCAACTTCATTTTTTTAAATACGACCCTAGAAATTTTATTACATTTTTTGCAAGCCTTCATTATCCCCAAGCCTGAACCAGATTTAGACGTTTTGTCTCGAAAAATTCATCTTCAGTGTATTTGTTCCAAATTTATCTAAATTTTTATTATTACTTATTGAATTATCATACACTGTAAGTGTCGTTAGACCCTGTGAAATCCATCTAGTTATTTAAACTATTACCAACATGCGTTACAATAACACATTTATTATTAACTATTACCAACACTTGGTCATACATAACTCAATAAGTTGTTGTGTCAAAATTAAAACATTATTACAATTTTAATTTAATTATGACAAATTAATTCTTAAAAATGCATATGAACAACCAGAACGCCAACTGAATATTATTCTTCAAAAAATTTCAGTAAATGTTCAAAAACATTTTTGTTTTGGCAAACGCTGAAATTGAAGATCAGTGTAATATTATCGGAATTTATTATACCTGTAACCGCAACTGTTAAAGAGCATGTCAGATGTACTTGTATGAATATCAGGAAAAAAAAATAGATCGGAATTTGTTTGAATTTTGAGCACTCGAGAAGCCTAGAAATAACTATGGACGCGGGAATAAAACTAATAATTTTTTATTTTAATGGGTGGTGGTAATAGTTTAAATAACTAGATGAATTTCACAGGGTCTAACGACACTTACAGTGTACGATAATTCAATAAACAAAGAAATCTAAATAAAAAATTTAGATAAATTTGGAACAAATACACTGAAGACAAAACGGCTGAATCTGGTTCGGGCTGAGGCAGTACAGTATTGGGGGTCGTGAAGGGTTGAAAAAAATGTAATAAAATTTCTAGGGTTGTATTTAAAAAAACGTTTAAAAGTTGATGATGGTCCTGGAGAGGCGAAAGGTTACATAAAAAAATTGATTATACCATTCGATAGAGGGCAAAAAGTGGCCATGAGAAAGTGTTCTTCTTTTTTCAATATCACCTCAAACAAGGCTGAAATGAAAAAAAAAAACGGATTTCCAAAATTTTGTTTTTTTTCAAATATTTCGAAAACTAATCATGTTAGCCTTAATTTTTTAGAGGCATAAGTTGGTCCCCTGATTACGCAACTTTGCCCCCATTTAAGCCAGTTTGTATCTCTTACCGTTTTCGAAATCCCTGTAGTGAGAAGCGAATTTGTAACAGCCTGTATAATGATACTATAATTTCTTTGGTTTTAAAGGAATAATGTGGTCTATAACTCACTAGTGAGTTATGAAACCCTTGGTTAGAGACACAATTTAGGTTGACGCTCGCATCCTTAGTAATATTTAAAAATATTTTGATTTCGTTAAATTACTTTTTCTGACATGACAACTTGAAATTTTTAGTTACTTTTATTTATTATTAAAACGAAATTCTATGAAAGTGTTGGATAAAATTTTGTTTGGTACTCGTGTGTTACGTCATATAAGTCACTTGGGAAAACATTTCCCAGCGTGACTTATATATACCGTAACACAGTACCATAAATAACTATTTTTTATCAAAATCAGTACCACTTTTTTTTTATAGATAAATTAAGTCCCATATAAAAATGTGTATATAATAGTGATGTTTTTGTCACTTTGACAGCGATAAAAAGTTGCGTAGCTTTTAAAAAGTTTCCTGTCATTACAATTATTAAGTACTGTTGAAAGTGTGAGTATAAAATATACATAATATGAATCGTCAGAATAACTCCATTAGAAAATATAGCGAATATGTTAAAGGATTGGGCATATAATATGAAAAAGAAAACTGGGGAAGATTACAAAGAACATGCAGTTAAAACAATCTGGAATTCAACTGTAAAGATGATTAAAGAAAAATGTTTCATTGAATATAACATTAAATTTGATCTTTTTACCGACATAACTTTTTAAAAAAGCTCGTGATGCAAGAAACTGTAATAGCAATAGACAAGGAAAATATACTGAGAATGGCAAAATTGGGGAATATAAATGAACCAGAGTGACTACAAAAAAAATGCTTTTATATAGCTTCTTATGAATTGGCTTAGAGGCGTGGAGAGGCTGCAAACTGTAAAATGTACCATTTTAAAAGTGAAAAAAATCAAGAGGGAACCCCAACAGGAAGAACTGATTGACTGATTGGCAAAATTATTTCGTTACAAAGAGAAGTTTATCTGATAAAAAGAAAAGCTCGTGATTTTACTGTTGATAAAATTTAGGGTCAATATTTTTAATCCCAAAATCCCACACTAGAATCACAAGTACAATCAATTCGGTTTCTTATAGGAACGAAAAGAGTTCATATAAATATAACTGCTAAAATCTTTCATTTCCCATACTTACTTCTAATTTTCAAGAGCAGCACATTGAATCTTCTGTTTTTACTTGAAATCTCAGAATTTAAAGAGAAATTGACGAGATATTTTTTGTGGTGGTCAGACAATTAAGTCATTCTCCTTAAAAGATCCATAGGCATGGAAAATATTTTCAAGAGACTGACATATGTGCCCCTGTACGTCACTGATGTAGAGAATTAAATGTTTGAGGATGATTTTCTGGGTTCCCATGCCCTTATAACATGTACCAAATTTGTACCAGTTATCTAGGATATTATTGAAAAACCATTTGAAAAGTACAATTTTAACACCCTTTAACTTTTAAATAAAGTATTTTTGGACTAAGGTTACTCAAACTTTTAGACTAAAGTAAGTCAACTGTTTTTTTTATATATAATTCAATACATACAGTGTTAGAGAAAAAAGCGCAACAAATTTGCAGGATGATAAACTTACTTGTACCAAATTTCAATGAAATGCATTGCTCTTTGGAAATGATATGGCAATTTGATTATAAAAAATTATCTTTGACGACCTATTATTTCAAAAACAAAAGACAGTAGGCGGCCTATGATGCATATGATACTATCATAAATATACAGGGTGTTCCTTAATGATATGAGCACATTTAAGGGAGCGATTCATATGGAAAATTAATGATAGTTTGCTTTATAAATTATGGTCCTAAAATGCTCCGTTGTGAAAATACAGTGTTAAAATTTTAGGAAAAGGAAGGCAATTAATTATTATTTTTGAAACGCTTGAGATATTTTAGTGATATTTAGTACGTAGTGTTAGTTAATAAAGGCGCATGTTTTTCAATACAAACATCATTTTTAGCTCAAACAGTGGCGTGACCACGAGCACTTACTTTAATATTTAAAAAAAAAAAATTGGTACGCCAATGATTTTTACCAAATAAAATTATTTTTGAAATCCCCGTTCAATTCGAAAAATAAGAGCTCTCTTGAGTTTTTGTCCTGTGATGTGCCATTTTCGAGCAAAAAAGACTTACAGAATTATTAATAATTTAATAGCAAAAATTAAATACACTATAGGCTGGCACCTGCGCGTAATGAACAACAACAATTAACAACATACATCATTAACATAACATAACATTACAACTAATATCAAATTATCATTACAAAAATTATTGAAAATGGCCTCGTTTACTTAATATGCATGTTTCCGCCCTTTGTCATGGAATTGCACAATCGTTGAAATATTCCCGAAGTATTTTTTATTCTATCACATGCAGCAATTATTCTTTCTCTTAATTCCTCTACAATATTAATGGGACTTGTGTTTACTAGCGTCTTAAGGTGACCCCATAAAAAGAAATCTAAGCTATTGAGGTTGGGGGACCTTGGTGGCCATTCTTGAGGCCCACCGATTTGGATAAACAGTTTGTAAATAATTGTGAACCATTACACTGAAATGTGCTGGTGCACCATCGTGCATGTACCATATTTGGTTTATTTTTACTATCGGAACATCCTCAAGCAACAAAGTCAATTCTTCTTGAAGGAAATTGCTGTAAGATTGTCGTCCATTAAGTCATCTCAGCAGGAAGAATGGTCCAATAAAGTGGTCACCAATAATTCCTGGTTAACCAAAAATTGGTGTTGGAAATGAGTTTCATTATGGCATGTGGATTTTCATCTGTCCACAAATGATTGTTGTGAAAATTTTGAATGGCATTTCTTAAAAAATTAGCTTTGTCTGTGAACAGAATGTGTGCACCAAATTGCGGATTTTGCGCAACATTATGAAGCTACCACTGACAAAAAGTGACACGGTTTGGAAAATCT